CCTACAGTGAAGAGCTTTATATTGTGAGAATCACAAGACCCAGACCTACATTTTGATGCATAGTATGTCTCTGAAGTATTAAAATTGAAGGCACAGTCGCAGTTTAGAAATTGCACTTCAAATTTGAGCTTTGCAGAGTGAAGTTTCAATGAATGTCAATGGACGGCGTTGGTTGCAAACAAATGGTCATATTGTGAAAACTATCAGGACTACAGCTTAGCCGTTGACATGTTTAGTGGCAGCAGGGATAGCTGAACGTGATATAAGATTTGTGTAGGTGGGCCTGAAAATAAGGGAGTGGTGGCAGTTTAGAAATCATGTCCTGATTTTTTTAGCTTTTGGCAGCTCCCACTCTAGCTTTGCCATTCATTCCTATGGGACAAATTGCGCCACAAAAACGACGATATTCCGTGAACCATTCGGCGAAACATTCCACAAAGTAATAGCAATCCGATCGGGAACAATCTGCACGTTTTGGTAAATTTTGGTCTATGTAGTGTAAAAACTGTGGGAGGAGTTGGGGTGGCAAATTTGGCTATAATAATAAGAATAATAACTAGAAAAGCTACAATTTCTGGGGAAATTGTGTGAAGTGTTCTTGCCTCCACCAGTAGTCTACAACTGGAGTGGGCGGAGTAACTGTTATCATTTATATAGCACATTTAATTGCAACGTTGTTGCACAGTTACATTAAACCATACTTTTATAAAACATTAGCAGGTGTTCTAAAGGCCCTGTCTATGACATCACTTGCTGCTGCAGCATGACACAGGTCAGAGTATTTTGGCGGTTGCCATCTTGAAATGGTCGTATCTTAAAAACTATAACTCGTACAGCGAAGAGCTTTATATTGTGAGAATCACAAGACCCAGACCTACATTTTGATGCATAGTATGTCTCTGAAGTATTAAAATTGAAGGCACAGGCGCAGTTTAGAAATTGCACTTCAAATTTGAGCTTTGCAGAGTGAAGTTTCAATGAAAGTCAATGGACGGCGTTAGTTGCAAACAAATGATTATATTGTGAAAACTATCAGGACTTGCTATGCAAGAACATTAATAAGAATAAGAATTTGGCTATAATAAGAATAATAATATATATGTGAGATAACAATAAGTAGTCTTGCTATGCAAGAACACTTAATAATATATATGTGAGATAACATTAAGTGGTCTTGCTATGCAAGAACACTTAACTAGAAAAGCTACAATTTCTGGGGAAATTATGTGAAGTGTTCTTGCCTCCACCAGTAGTCTACAACTGGAGTGGGCAGAGTAACTGTTATTATTTATTTATATAGCACATTTAATTGCAACGTTGTTGCCCAAAGTGCTTCACAGTTACATTAAAACTTACATTTATAAAAACATTAGCAGGTGTACAAAATGCCCTGTCTATGACATCACTTGCTGCTCCAGCTTGGTATAGGAGTATTTTTGGATAACTGAACGTTTTGATATAAGATTTGTGTAGGTGGGCCTGAAAATAAGGGAGTGGTGGCAGTTTAGAAATCATGTACTGATTTTTCAGCTTTTGCCAGCTCCCACTCTAGCTTTGCCATTCATTCCTATGGGATGTTTTGGTAAATTTTTGTCTATGTAGTGTAAAAACTGTGGGGGGGGGGGGCGGGGCCTGACCGCTGAACTGTGAGGAAGCATGTCTCACCAGCTCCTGCAACTCAGGGCAACCAAAGCGGATTTAAGACTCCAAAACGGCACTAAATTGATTCATCACGGCCACCAGGCGACAGGCGACAATGGGGCGCACAAACAGACACCACACAAGAGACGATGCCCCTCAGGCGCACCCAGACTCAAGACGGAGCCTACCAGCATGGCGGGCGCAGGGAAGACGGCCACTGCTGCCTGTACCAGCCAGGTACTGGCCTCCGAGCCCTCATTCCCCCCCCCCCTGGACCGGCGGGGGTCATCCCGGTCCACCCCCTTACGATCCCCTTGAAAGGAGATGAGCGGATGAAACAACCATGCGGTATGGAAACTGCAGACAAGGCCGACGAAATGGCAGACGGCAACCACACCTCGGCCCTTCACAAGGCCAGACGAGACACGGAGCTCCGGCTCACCCGCATATTCGACTCCTTCTGGGAGCAGCTGGAGAAACTTGCGTGGCCCGCGGAGCAGGGGACCCAGCCGGATGGCAAGACACAAGAACCAGCACGTGGGACCCGGATGGGAGTACTGGCATACACCGCCGGCTCCCTACCCGGACCCCACAGGCGCCCGAGAAAGAACGCCCTGCTAGCGGAGACCCGAAGCCTCACTAAGGGCAACCACAGCCGGACCCAGGTAAAACATACTGGGGGCGCTGCAGTACGAAGGCGGCGTGAAGACCTACCCTACTGTCCCCCCCTACCCTAGGTCCCCCCCCTCATTATCAATATTGCCCCCACCCGCCGCGCAGGGGTGGTGGCGGGGGGGACAATAGGTCCCCCCTTATTGTTCATTTTTAGGGCCCCCACCCACCGCTCAGGGGTGGGGGCCGGGGGGGACAATAGGTCCCCCCCTTATTGTTATTTTTAGGGCCCCCACCCACCGCTTAGGGGTGGGGGCCGGGGGAGGACAATAGGTCCCCCCTATTAGTATTTAGGGCCCCCACTGGGGGGACCCTTTTTTTTTGTTTAATAGACATGCCCCTACTCGCGGTATTGCGAGTAGGGGCACAATTTACTAATACTAAATAATTTTTACTTAGTATTAGTAAATTAATAGGGGGCGGACCGAACATCGCTATTTTCGCCTGGATCTATTCGCCAGCGAACCGTTCGGGACATCACTACTCACCATGAGGGCCGCAATGGCACGACGCCACAAGCACAGACTCAGCCTACAGAGCCACATCGTACCTACCACAGCAGATGCCGGCCTACACTCAGACACTCCACCCACGCATCACCGGACTGGGAGAACTGCAGCTCACATCACAGCAGCAGCAGATGGTACAAGGGGAGCTCATTGCTTTTATTTTTATTTATTTTTTCACTAATTTTTCATAACTCAGATGAACTCCCACAACTGTCTGTATGCAACCGATCCCTGCACATCCCTTCCAACAGCTCACATAGGGGACCATAGAGATCAAGTGACTACATATTAAGTATGAATATGCATAGACTAACTCAAACCCACGCAAGTCTCCTTGATTACTCAACACACAACTGTTTGCATTAGCATGTGGAATATGTAATGATGCCACCTTATGCTGTAGGCAAGCTCTAGCATTGTTTTATGTGTTTTCTTTCTTTCTTTCTTTCTTTAAAATTCTTATTTCATGCAACACAGCATATATAAGAGTAGCGAAACCTGTATATACAACACATATGGTCCAGATATCATTATAATGCAAAACACATCGCAACACTACAACTACACTAGCAAAGATGAACGAGCCATGTTAAACGTGGACCACCCTATCTTATGCTAACGTTCTCGCTGTTTGGCCTAAAGTTGTTTTACTTATATAAAACTGTGCAATCTCTCATGCCACTGTCAAACCTAACCACATCTTCAAACACGCTGCTGGACATCGTCGGAGACCACCACCGACCACTACTACAGGCACCAACCCTGTGGCTGATGGGGATCGGTTAAACAGCCTGACCTGGACTTGGCATCACCCACCAAAGACAGTGCACACTAGGTCCACCACACCGTGTATGCTTAGAGGATGACTGCACCTGAGCTAGCCACTCATTAGCAAGTAATAATCTTGATTAATCAAATACAATAGCCTAAGATGCAACAAGCTGAAACCAATAAGCAATCACAAGAATATTCTGTAACAGCAACATTTTAAAGCACCAAACATATATTATTCTGTGTTGTCTAATCTGGCACCTCACTATTCAAATTCAGCAAACAAAATAACATTTAGATAAGCAAAATTATTATATAAAAAACGTGCAATGCTCAGTAATGCTCAACTAATGTCAGACTATGGTTGTAAAATGCTATCCCTAGCTGTTGTGGCATTAAAAGCCAGCTATGATCTTCCTATGCACACTTAACAATGTTAACTGCTGTATGACTCTCCCTAGCTGTGTACACATAGTCTAACTTTTATATGTATTATCTCAACTAGCTCCTGCTATACTGCAAACCGTACTTATTCATTAAGTCTACGAGAATATAGCAACATCAGAATTGAAAACTTAACGTTAGTCAATCTCACTGTAATCTAGTTAAGCTTAATTTACCAATCTGTCTAGTTATGCATGTTTAAAAAACAAAAATTGTGCGAATTCTCATGCCACTTTTACACTGTTTTGACTCTTGAAATATGCTGTTGTGGCGACTGTTGACATGTTGTAATCATCTGCACAGCAAAAATAAAGAATGAAAAAAAAACTGTGGGAGGAGTTAGGGTGGCAAATTTGGCTATAATAAGAATAAGAATAACAATATATATGTGAGATAACATTAAGTGGTCTTGCTATGCAAGAACACTTAATAATAATATATATGTGAGATAACATTAAGTGGTCTTGCTATGCAAGAACACTTAATAATAATAATAATAATAATAATAATAATAATATATATATATATATATATATATGAGATAACATTAAAGGACCACTCTAGGCACCCAGACCACTTAAGCTTAATGAAGTGGTCTGGGTGCCAGGTCCAGCTAGGGTTAACCCTTTTTTTATAAACATAGCAGTTTCAGAGAAACTGCTATGTTTATAATAGGGTTAATCCAGCCTCTAAAGCCTCTAGTGGCTGTCTCACTGACAGCCGCTAGAGGCGTTTGCGTGCTTCTCACTGTGAAAATCACAGTGAGAAGACGCAAGCGTCCATAGGAAAGCATTATGAATTTCCTATGAGACATGCGCATTCAGCCGAAGAGGAGGAGAGGAGGCGGAGAGGAGGAGGAGAGCTCCCCGCCCGGCGCTGGAAAAAAGGTAAGATTTAACCCTTTCCTCGCCATCCAGCCTGGCGGGAGTGGGATCCTGAGGGTGGGGGCACCCTCAGGGCACTATAGTGTCAGGAAAACAAGTATGTTTTCCTGGCACTATAGTGCTCCTTTAAGTGGTCTTGCTATGCAAGAACACTTAAAGGACCACTATAGTGCCAGGAAAACATACTCGTTTTCCTGGCACTATAGTGTCCTAAGGGTGCCCCCACCCTCAGGGACCCCCTCCCACCCGGCTCTGGAAAGGGGAAAGGGGTTTAAACTTACCTTTTTCCAGCGCTGGGTGGAGAGCTCTCCTCCTTCTCTCCTCCTCCGTTCCGCCCCGTCGGCTGAATGCGCACGCGCGGCAAGAGCTGCGCGCGCATTCAGCCGGTCACATAGGAAAGCATTCATAATGCTTTCCTATGGACGCTGGCGTGCTCTCACTGTGAAAATCACAGTGAGAAGCACGCAAGCGCCTCTAGTGGCTGCCAATGAGACAGCCACTAGAGGCTTTGGGGGAAGGCTTAACCCATTAATAAACATAGCAGTTTCTCTGAAACTGCTATGTTTATTAAAAAATGGGTTAACCCAAGCTGGACCTGGCACCCAGACCACTTCATTAAGCTGAAGTGGTCTGGGTGCCTAGAGTGGTCCTTTAATAAATAAAAGCATGCTGCCAGTACAGCCAAAGGGTTATTCTTATATTTATGGGTATCAAAACAGACAGTGTGCTAAATTACTGTTTTATTTATTTATTCTGCTGTAAGAAGTTTAATTACATAATTTTCGGATTCTGGTTGCAAATTTCTGATTGTTTAAAATGTAAATATGTTTAGTAGAATGTGCAACTGTTGGTTGTAAGTTTAAAAAAAAAGTGGTACATTTTGGTAGAATAGATAGTTCTCTAGATTGCCACCCTTTTGCTATTTTGGTTGGTCTCCTCTGGGTTTAAGTCCCAAATGGGTAGTTAAGGTTTAATTATAATTTGTCTTACTTGGCTGGCACTGGGTTAAACGATGATAAGAACACTTTAGCTAGGTAGGTAGGTAAGCAATGATGACTGAGGTGGACATTAGTTGCATAATTAGTCTATGCATTCAGAAGGACTCAAGTCACTGGGTTTATAATATATAGAAAGTTGGTCCAGTAACATGCAGTGAATTTGGAAAAACGGTTAATTCAGTTCTTTGGAATGCAAATTGCAAAGGAGAAGATTTCCAAGCTTAAGGATAAATGATTTCTTGTGTTGTGTGTGTGTGTATATGTATGTGATGTATGTGTATATATATTTATGTATATATATATATATATATATATATATATATATATGTGTGTGTGCATGTATGTATACATATATTTGTATGTATATAGATAAATAAAATAGCAAGCGCTAGAATTGCTGCCAATGGTGTCAGCAGTTTTTAATCTTGGATTATAGCTCCAAAATAAAAGGATTTTATTCCACTGTGACAATGAGTCAGTGGTACAAGTTTTCAGTTTATTGTATTCAAAAGGTTTCTTTGTGATTAATTTCTTAGAAATTAGTATTCTTATACTGGTAACTTAATAGTTGGCAGAAGGTAGTGCATATTCCTAGCTGAGAACAGGACAGCTAATTCTATTTTCGTTTTCATCGTAGCACATTCAGACGTTTGGTACCAAATAATTGCAGAAAATGCAAATTCTTATGAAAGAACTCGAATAGGACACTGGGTATATTTAGGTGTTACCTTGCAATAAGTGGTAATTTTCCATCAATTGACCCTTGTTAACAGAGTTGGTTGTAATATCGAAGCTGCTTTCATACCTGACTAACGTTCAAATAATGATGTTATCTTCAAGCACCTAGTACAGGTAGCATATTTTATGTAGCACAGGAAGCACATTTTATGTGGTTTGGTAAAATAACAGTGAAAGCGTTTATAATTAAACAGTTGTTAAGATGTTATTTTGTAGGTAAATGGTGTGAAGCGCCCTATCCCTTATATGTTAGCATATTACTTGAAGTTTTGGGAATGTTATATTGTTAATTTCGAAGTATTTTTATTTTTAGCAGCCTTTCTTTGGCTTTCTTTGATAAATTGAGAATTAGTTAGTTTTGTTTAGTAGATTTCGAGTGTCAGGATTGCAGTTTTAGAATTTTAATTATTTTTCCCTATAAATTTCAAGTAGGTATTTGCAAAAAAATAAAAAATAAATGCATACATTTCAGATTAGAAGAATGAATTGATTAATTTGTATCGCATCAGTGATGGCGGATTTTGTTTTGTTCAGTCAAAACTTTGCAAGTTTATTTTACTGTCGCACCTGCTGATATTGCCCCCCCCCCCCTTCCCCTGCCTTTTTTTTTGTTTATAATTATGATTGTCCATTAAAACATTTAAAATCCAGTGGTATTTCAATAACACTTTGAATACTTGGTTGTGAAGGTAAAAAACATGCTATTCTTTCAGGTTTGGGCTGTGGCAAAGCAGCTATATTGGATTGGTGCAAATGCAATTAAGAAGATTGGGAGATGGACTCAGACTAGTTTTCAGTTATACGTGTGTGATGATTTGATGTTGTCTCTTCCTCTTATCATTTTTTATTTTCAGGTTCAATAACAAATGTTTGGATTCTTGGTCACTCAAGGGGTCTGGCAGGCCATGCAAAGAAGAAGAGACAGAATATACAGACGTAACCAGATCTTCAATAGGGCCGAGGTATAGTTGATCTGAGATTTTGGAATTATGGTCATTAGGTTGGATTGTTCTACATGGCCAGATACAGCAGTTTTTTAACCATTCACAAAGTGGTAACAGTGTAGGTTTAGTTAAGTCTGTTTATTGCATGGTTTGAGTTATTGGATCATTAAGGGAATTATTTCCTTTAACCGTTTTAGTTTGATCAGAGAGCAAGATGGTCAACTCCAGCTATAGAATAGGGCAAATAGGGAGTAGTGTAGATTTTGTTAAAACACTTCTTATTGCATTATTTAATGATTTAGTTCCCCTTTCCTTCAACAGTTTCATTTTTTTCAGGAGTTGGTCCCGCGATTGCTATGGTTAGAATCGCAAGAGTAACGGTTTGGAGAAGGTGTGCATTACACTGGGATTTTTACATACACCTATATAGTAATGTTCAAGCTCATTTGGCAAATATTGGAGTTAATATACGTAAGTTGGATTTACAAAACATTATGGAAGGGCCTTGGTTGTGGGGGCCTCAGCTGGAGTAGTGTCTACCCCAGTTGAGACAATGGGGCAAAAGTCATACTCAGGGTCCAAGTTCTGAGGAAGGATATGGTGGTAAATGGTTTTAAATAAAACGCGGTTAGATTAGTTATGACTGACTGGTTATTTGGTGGTTAATAAAGTTAAATGTTTTGAAAGTTGGTGAACCATATGTTATATGACACAGGTATCAATTCTGCCCAGATACCTGTCTAACTGACCAACTAACACAAGATTTAAAATTCATCACATTCAAATCCTAGACAAAACAGATTAACTCCTTCATTGCCACAGTGCTTACTGCCTGTGGCTTCTTTATGTATGGTAAACAATATTCGGATAAATAAAACAAGACCACACAATAACCACAGACAACGTTTACTACTTTTTAATGGGCTTGGCCGTGGTGTTTATTTAAAGCTCAAGGGGCATACAACCATAACTTTGTAACCATAACCATATAACATATGGTTCACCAACTTTCAAAACATTTAACTTTATTAACCACCAAATAACCAGTCAGTCATAACTAATCTAACCGCGTTTTATTTAAAACCATTTAGCATCCTAAAATGTGGTGGTGTTTCTGGTGTCAGTGCTGATGTTTTTAAATGTCATTCAGTGTAATGGTTTTTCCATGCCATGCTTGGTCTTGTGATCTATGTACATATATAAAAAATAAAATAAATTGGGCGCAGTATACGCCATACACCTTTTATATCTACAGTTGTATTTGGTACAAGCTGATAGGGCACTCTTTTTTCCACACTATGATTTTTTTTTTTTCATTTTGCAATGTTCTTCACTGCCACTGCTTTTGCTTTGCAAATTGTGTGTGGCTGCAGTTTACTGTATAACTGAACCCTGCCTCCTCTTTGTTTGTGCCAGTATTAGTGTTGCAGGCAGGGTACATCATCACGTAAGATTAATCATCAGCTACTAAAGCCTGTTTATGTTTTTTTATCTTACACTGTGTACTGTGCAAGTTCCAATACAGTGTGATTTTGCTATACACTGTGTGGTAAATCACAATCATAATATAGCGGTATTAAATCCACCAAGCAGCAACCCAATTTTTAACACAAACATAGGGTCAGGAACTCAGATGAAGAAGAAATGTCTCAACCTACTTAGATATTGATGCAAACAAGTGTACTCTTATTGAAGAGATGTACATAGCATGCCTGGAAAAGGAAAGGAGAGAAGCACTGGATCAATAAACTCAAACATGTCACATAGATTAGTGTTCAAACTCAAAGAAATTGGTGTAGATGAAAATTTTTGCTCTTGTGTAGAACATTGGCTTAAAAATAGAGTTGTCATTAATGGTACATTTTCAAGCTGGACAGAGGTGGCAAGTGGTGTTCCTCAGGGTTCTGTTTTGGGACCCCTTCTATTTAACATGTTTATAAATGAGCTTGAAAATCATGTATCAGCGTTTGCAGATGACAAAACTCTGTAAAGTAATATAATGTGAGCAAGGTTTTACTTTGCTGCAGAGGGATTTGTTGCCAGCCTAAGGCACACCTTTGCAATAATCATGCTGTCTCTTCAGCATCTTGATATGCCACACCTGTGAGGTGGATGGATTATCTCGGCAAAGGAGAAGTGCACACTAACACAGATTTAGACAGATTTGTGAACAATATTTGAGAGAAATAGGCCTTTTGTGTACATAGAAAAGTCTTAGATCTTTGAGTTCAGCTCATGAAAAATGGGGGCAAAAACAAAAGTGTTGCGTTTATAATTTTGTTCAGTGTAGATAGACAGAGGAACTGGGCACTCAAATGGCAGATAATATTTAATCTAGAAAAATATAAAGTTATGCACTTCGACAGGGCCGCCACCAGAAATTTTGGGGCCCCTAACTCAGCTCAGGGTCTGGGCCCTCTGGGGCCCGCCTCCAAATACCGCACGCTGGGTCCGCCTCCAAATACCGCCCACAGGAATACACACACAGACACAAACACACTGATACAAAAAGACAGA